TTATTTAAATAATAGTGTTACTTTAGTTTTGATTGTTGTATTATTTTTATGTCTAAAGTATTCAATAAAACATTAAAAATAATTTAATCCTAAAACAACTGTTATTGTTATCATGTATTATAATGGGGGGATATTGGAAACTGTAAAATGTTTAGGGCGTATTAGTTTGATTAAATAGGATAAAGTTTGTGAAGCATTGGACAGCAAGAACTACACGGGTGTTATTTTTTTCTCTTTCCTGTTCCTAGACCTAATTTAGGGTAATGCATAATTGGTTGTCTTGAGGGTAGGTGACAAAAAATACGGCACACAGTATCTTGCTTCACTGGTTATACTGGGGGTTAGTAGTGTTGAGGACAGATTGTATAAAATTGAAGTCAGAGACAGAATCTTTTCCACATTGTTATGATTCCTGATGACAGTAGCCTGGGCTGCAGGATGTCTAATTACTCAGGACGCCTTGGAAAAAGGCAAAACTCAGCAGGAGCCAGAAGCAATACTTTGTACACATTTGAAAGAAGAGTATTTATAGGCTTATGTATTCATATATAAATTTTTTTGCTACTGGTCTTGGGTCTTTAAAAATTTATAGTCGGAGTGTTTTTCTGATCATTTTTTATTTTATTAAGAAGAAACTATAAATAAAACTGAACAATGCCATCATTTTTCATTAGCTGTAATGGCTTTGTGACGGGATGAAAGCTCATGTAGTGTAATGTTTGATTTTTTTTCTTCTTCAAATGCTGCTGAGCTAGATCATTTAGAAATATTACAAAATCTTCTGCACTGAAAGAAAAACGTTTTGACTCCAAGTTTTAAAAAAAGCACATGCATTATATTATCTGAACCCTAGTATCTTTTGGAAGCTATTCTAAATCTTTGTCTTTACATTGTTGTTTCTCTTATATTCACAATCTCTGCCCCAGCTGGAATGTAGCTTCCAAAATAATTTTATCTGGCTTCATATTTACCTTGAATTAAAATCTACATGTTTTAGGTTATTATTCTGGACCAATTGTACAGTCATTTAATTTATTTTTGGTGTTTTTATTGAGGTAGCATTGGTTTATAATATTATATGTTTCACGTGTGCAACATTAGAATTTGACATCTGTGTATACTTTAGCGTGTGCACCACCAAAGATCTAGTTTCCATTTGTCATCACACAACTGACACCTTTTACCCTTCTCCTCTGGTAACCATTGATCTGTTGTCTGCCTCTATGAGTTCTTTTTTGTTTTCTTATATTCTACATATGAGTGAATTTGTATTATGGTATTCTTTTTTGTCCTGACTTATTTTACTTAGCACAATACCCTCAAGCTTCATCTATATTGTTACAGATGGAAGGATTTCACTTTTTTATTCAGTAGTATTCCTGTGTGTGTGTGTGTGTGTGTGTATGTGTGTACATAAATATACATATATACATATATCTATACTAATAAAAGGGTAATATGCTAATTAGACCAGGAGACCTTCCTGGAGACCTTCCAGATGTCCTTCCGGACAAAGCCATGGTTGTGGAGCCGAGGCAGAAGCGGTTAGGGACGATCAGGCCAGGAGGGGAGGGCAGTTGGGGGTGATCAGGTCGGCAGGGGGGCAATTGGGGGTGATCAGGCTGGCGGGGGGGCAGTTGGGGGCGATCAGGCTGGCAAGGGGGGGCAGTTGGGGGCGAGAAGGCCAGGGATCGGGCTTAAACTGGCAGTTGGACATCCCTTTCGCAATCCGGAACCGCTGGCTCCTAACCGCTCACCTGCCTGCCTGCCTGATCACCTCTAACTGCCCTCCCCTGCCAACTTGATCACCCCTAAGCACCTCTGCCTCAGCCCCGCCACTGTGGCTTTGTCCAGAAGGAAGGCAGGACGACTGGAAGATGTCCGGTTGACCCAGTCTAATTAGCATATTACCCTTTTATTAGTATATATATATATATATATATACACACACACACACACACACACATATATATGTATATATATAAAATATATTTCACATCTTCTTTACCCATTCATTCATTGACAGACACTTTGTTTCCATATCTCGGCTATTGTAAATAATGCTGCAATGAACATAGGCATGCATATCTTTTCGAAGTAATAGAACAATCATTTTAATTGGAACATTTTAGGTCTGAAATGGGCCAACCACCTGTTTACAAGGAAGAAAGTGAGTCCAGGAGAGAGATTATGAAATACACTCATGGTCATACAACAAGATAGTGGCAGAGCAAAGATGAGAACCAGGTGAAACCCCTATACTAACATTTCCTAGTTGAAATTTTTTCCCTTTTGCAAATTTTCAGGTATGAAATCATCCAGAAACTTGAGTGGAAAAAAATAATAGAAGTCCAAATTCTTATTTTTGAAATTAAGTTATTATGATTTAAATTGTTTACAACTCCGTAGAAACTTGAAATGAAGTCGGTGGTTTTAGGAAAAAAGTAACAATGTACTTTGAAAATGCAATGAATCAATGTTTCTATAGAGAGATTTTCTTGAGACCTTATGCCATTGTCCACAGTGTTAGATGATGTTAAAATACTAGGCTCTAGGACTTGGTGTGTGGTCTCCGGGGCTTGTCAAAAGGGAGGGGCTTTGGCTGTTTGCAGACCTGTGCCTCTGCGTGCCATCCTTGCTGCACAGACATCATGGCACAGACTCTTGGGGATGTTGTGGGTTTGTGCAATGGATCATTTTAGAATCTAACCTGAAAATCTGTGCCTGTTTCTTTTCTTTATTCTTTTTTATTAATGTGCTTTTAAAAAGACTGTTGCCTGCATTTGCTTTAGAGCAAACTGGGAGTAGCTGAGTAACTGCAGAAAGGCTCAGAAGTGTGAATTAAGGTAGTGATCACTTCTAGCAGTTTATTTAACATTTAAGGAAACTCATCCTCTTTTGCATTTTATTTTGTTATTATTTTTTAATTCTTTTTTTTTCAGAGAGGAAGGGAGAGGAAGATAGAGAGATAGAAACATCCATGATGAGAGAGAATCATGGATTGGCTGCCTTCTGCACACCCCCTACTGGGGATCGAGCCCAGGACCCAGACATGTGCCCTGACCGAGAATCAAACCGTGACCTCCAGCTTCACAGGTTGATGCTCAACCACTGAGCCATGCTGGCTGGGCCCTTTGTGCATTTTAATAAGTCTCATGGACACTGTTTCCAAAAGCTGTGGTTCAGTATGCAACATCCTATGTAATAAAAGCCTAGGTGGCATCACACCCTCGCGCAACATCATCACAAGATGGCCGCCACAACATGGCCGTGCGCACAGCGGAGGCAGGGCCCGGTGGCCGCTCTGCATGGTGAGGCCTGGGGGTCCCGCGGCTCTGCGCGGCACAGAGGAGGCCGGTCCCAGCGTCTCCACCACCTCACGTGGAGGAGGCGGGTCATGGCAAGAGAGGGCAGTTGTGGGCAATTAGGCCGGCAGGGGAGGGCAGTTGGGGGCCATCAGGCCAGCAGGGGAGCGGTTAGGCATCAATTAGGCCAGCAGGGGAGTGGTTAGGGGGTGATCAGGCTGGCAGGCAGAAATGGTTAGGAACCAGTGGTCCCAGATTGTGAGAGGGATGTTCGACTGCCCCCGAGGGGTCCCAGATTGGAGACCGTGCAGGCTGGGTTGAGGGACACCCCCCACCCCTCCATGAACAAATTTCATGCACCAGGCCTCTAGTGTATAAATATAGTGCTTGTCTGCCCAGGAAAGTCACTGTGTTTGCCAGTCCTGGCTCCCATCCCAAGTCATCAGCACCACATCTTTGTTACAGGCACTTATCTCTATTTTGGTTTTTTAACCTTTTGAAAAATTAAGGGAGTTCAACTTTCTATGGTTGGTCATTAAAGATAATTCAGTGATTTCTTTTGGAATGCAAGACGTGGAATGGGGCAGCTCTCTTTGCAAAACAAGAAGCATCAAACAAGAATAGTCATTAATACTGTATTTACTGCACTTATGTGGGTAGTTGCCAAGAGCATCATCATTTTTCTGGAACACTGTGTTCTGACTCTTGTTTGTTCATTTGTTGTATCTTTCTAGCCAAAAGGAAGTGGAATGTTGTGAGAGTGTCAGGTGAATTTGGGGCCAGTTAGATATATCAAATCACACAATTAGCCCTAGCTGATTTGGCTTGGTGGATAGAGATTTAGCTTATAGACTGAAGGGTCTCGGGTTTGATCCCAGTCAAGGGCACATACCTCAGCTGCAGGCTTGATCTCTGGCTCGGGTAGGAGCCCATGAGAGAGGCAACCAGTTGATGTGTCTCTCTCTCACATCGATGTTTCTCTCTCTCTGTCTCTCTCCCTCCTTTCCACTGTCTAAAAATCACTGGAAACATATCCTAGGTTGAGGATGAACAAACAACAGCAAAAAACTACAAATCACAAATTTACTTTTGCCTGATTCACTTACTCATCATGGTGTGTGGTTGCTCCTGGAAAAAGTTTACAGTGTAAAATATTTATTGAGAACCTCAATGTGCTTGTTAACTTAGTTGCTGAATTCAAGGAGGGACAGGTGGCAGCTGCCAATAGAGACTGGCCAGTCCTCAATAGAGCTGGAGTTAGATGGGTACCAAGACTGGGTGATCAGGGCTGGGCTGGCCTCAGGGCACAGTTGCATGGGCTCGTATCAAAACTGGTGATCACAAACAGGTAAGCACTGAAGACCTAGAAGATAGAAGAAGATAGCCCCAAGGAAAGTGCTGGATATGGAACTGAGTCATTTGGGCAAGCATCAGGTAAGGCATGATGAAGGCTGAAGATGTGAGAGGGGCTGCATTAGTCATGGCCCACACAGTCAATAGAAACCCTTTCATGCGAAGAGGTAGTTACAAAAGTCTTTGGAAGATCTGAAAGCCAAATGGGATGATGAGGTCACCCAGAGATTAGCAATAGCAGGAAACCACTAACACCTCTGAGGCTGGTGGAAAAAAGAGAAGGGAGGGGGGTGTTGCTACTAGAGGCCAAGAACTGGACCTACATGGAAGCTCCCAGAAGCAGCTGGGACCATGGAGGGAAGGCCTGTCTGGGGGAATGGAGCCATGTTGGAGACAAAGCCACTGCTGGAGATGCCATCCAACGCAGAGAGAGCAAAGGGAAGAGGTACTCTGGCTTCTTTCTCCCTTCTCGCCTTCAGTCTTCCGCCTAAACCTAGCTGGAGCCAGCTGGCAAGAAAATCTGGAAAGGTAGTTTGCAGGGGGAGGGTGGGGCCAGGGAATGGATCAAATTACAAGTAGGCAAACCACCGGCACACAGGCAAGGGTCTGGGGCAGGGGTTGGAGGGAGACTAAAGGGCAGGCATTCTGACAGGAAGCCAAAGCCTAATGGATCCTACTGGAGCAGCAGAGCAAGACTTGCACGGAGGGTTAAAGAGCCTGGAACATTGGACTAAGCTGATTTTCCAGAGCTTGTGCCCGAGAGCCCTTCTTGTGTCAGGTGATTGTTCTCTGGCCCACTGGAAACTCGGCCACATTTGGGGAGCAGTTTAGATTCTTTGTTAGATTCCTACTCCTGTGAAGGCTCAGCAGCTGGCCTTTGACCGGGACTCCCAGAAGCGTCCCTGTAAGTCAGGGGTGGGGAATGTCCGGCCCTCGGGCCATATAAGGCGCACAAAATCATTTGGTCTGGCCGTGCCAACACATTAGGGGTGAGTTAATCAAATGTTTGACCAAATATAGCAGGCTAATTTTTAAATAAGTTTGAATGGCCCGAGAATGATATTATAAACATCCAAATGGTCTTTGGCAAAAAAAAGGTTCCCCACCCGTGCAGTGGTTGAAACTCTGGGTGAATGATGAAGAATTCCATGACCGTGAGCACTAAAATAAAGAAAAGTTCTGTATAGAAAGGGTCCTTTCATGCCTTTATGTCCTGGGTGGCTACAGAAGCAACACTTTTCTGACTTAGCCATATAAATTCTCAGCCATGAATTAGAGCATCTTCTGGTCTCTGTCCCCCTCCCATACAGTCACTCTCTGTAGAAAAATTGCCATTTTAATCATCCCTATCATCCTCATGACCATCTCCATTGTCATCATGACAGACATTGAATAATTATCTGCCTTGCGGAGAAGGGGGGAGGTAAGCTGAGTTCAGCTATTTACATCTAAGATAACGATCATTCCTGGAACCACTAACATATACCAGACTCTGTGCTTTAAGAATAGCCATGCAGTGGTTCTCAAACCTTGGTGTGACTCAGAGTCACCTATGGGGCTTCTAAAATGCAGATAGCTTCTCCCACGTGTGCCTCCCACTCTGTTTCTGATTCAGCAGGTCTGAGGCGGGGCCGATCATTGGCATTTCTCACTAGTTTCCAGCTTGTGCTGGTGCTGCTGGTCCCCGGACACCCTCTGGGAACCTCTGCATCAGTGTCTTGGCTCTTCCCAAAGGCAGGTGTTGTTGTCTCCACCCTCCAGCAGAGGAACTGAGGCTCAGAGAGCTCACAGAACTAGTGACAGGCACACGGCTGAGAAGTGGTGGTGGGAGGTCCCTGGGTCAGAGGTTGGTGTCCCCACCCTCCAGGGCTTTGCATTGGCAGGACCAGTGGCTGCTGTCTCCGTGGGCCAAGCCATTGGCCGCCTGTGGACTTTGTCGTTTGCTCTTACAGCCCTAGTGAATTTCTTTCTTACGTTTTATTCGGTGCCGAAAGTGAATCGGTGGGTTACATTAAAAAAAAAAATTGGGTCCTGTTTGGACTGGTTAATGGACTCTCACTTTTTGGTACAAATGCCCCTGATGGCTAAGGCTGGTGGCTTGTCTGAGGCAGTGAGACCTGGCAGCCCCACTTTGTGCGCTGAGGGAGGGACCCTCTGCATGAGCAGCTGGCCTCTGTGCTGGGGTTTTAGTGGGACACCTGGGGCCCAGCACCTGCAGGGAGGGGCATTTGCCACCGTGCTCAGACCTCTCTTCTTCTACCCCCGCGTGTGTGGCCTGTTGCCTGACATTTTGTTTCACAATAAACCAAGGATATTGTAAATAAAACCAGTCTCCCAAGTTGATACACACTGCAGCCTTCCCCAGTGACCTTTACAGGGCCATGAATTCCTCGTCCCTATGCTCAGACCCCTCACCAACAAACTCCGCCTGATTTCCCAAATCACTGATTGCACACAGCAGCCCATGGGGAGACTCAGGGCTTGCAGGATAAAAAGGGCGAGATAGTATGCATAACACATCACTCCTTCCCTACTGGGTTTCAATCACATATTAATTATTAATTCAGAGTATCTTTATTTTTCCATCTGCAAGCTGCAAATGTGAACTCCAGCCATGTATTTTTAAACAGCTCCATTATGATCAAGCATATTTGAATATCTCATGTAGTTTATGACATGTGGGCTTTGCTTATCAAGGAAAAAGCTGTTGTATAGATGGTTTCTGTTTTTTCAGTTTGGTAAACTGCAGCCAAAATCTGAGGAGAAATGTGAGCTACTTGCCATTGAATCGTTCTATAGATCACACTTGCAGTAGCTTCCATTATGTTTCCTTTGCAGAAATAGCGAGGACCCAAAGTAGAGAAATCGATGTCCTGGAACCTGGGTTAGATTAGAAAAATTGATGAATTTATAATGATATAGGTAATCTGGATAATAAAGATTTAAAAACAGCTTTACTTGGCTATAAGTGCAGTCAATGCTGCCATCTGGAAAGAAAAAAAATGCAAAATTAAGTTTTCTGGTACTTTAGAAATGGATTCCAAAGAGTATTCATGTATTAATTACCCAATCGATATTAGGCAATCTGTTAGAAAATAACTGCTTGTGACTTTTATTTTTGAAACACAGTTTTTGGATTCTGGTAAATTTATACCTGTAGTTTTCCAGTTAACTCTAAAATGTAGTTTTGTATTTTATATAATGGGTTTAATACAAAGAAAATTCTCACCATATTTCTTCTAGAATTTTTACATCGAAGCCAGAGTCTTCTGTAGTCTTGTTTATCAGTTGTTTATTGCTGCATAGCAAACCTTCCCCAAACATAGTGGCACAAAACAACAGTCATTTATTGAATTCACAAATGGGAAATTTGGGCAGAGCTTGGCATGGGAGACTTGCACATTGTGCACATCAGCTGGGGTGGTTCAACAGAAGGATGGGAGGGCCGGGGGCTGGGAGGGCAGGGGGAGGAGGAGCTAGAGAATCCTCTTCCCAGAAGGCCGCTCACATGGCTGCTGAGTTGGCTGGGAGCTCAACTGGGGCCTTGGTTCCTCTTCATGGAGGACACTCCATGAGGTGTCTGGGCTTTCTCATACCACGGTAGCTGGTCTCTAGAGTGCTCACCCCAAGGGAGCCAGGTGGCAAGCTGTGATGTGGTCTTCACGACAGTCTTGGAGTCTCATGGCATTATTTTTGCTGTGCTTCATTGCCGGGCCAGTGTTGAAGGGCTGGCGACTGTAGACGCTACCTGTTGATGAGAGAAGTGTCAAGGAATTTGACCACATGTTTTAGAACTGCTGAACCCTATTAGGAGCCTCTGATGAACATTGAACTGTGGCTTCTTCTAAATGAAAGACTCAATCACTTGTTTGATCCGGTGAGGCTGCACTGCTATCCCTAAATTACATGGCCCATTGGAATCTGTCTTGGCCCATTCATTAGGTACACGCTGAATTGAACAGTGTTCTTCAGGTCTGCACTGGGCCCAGGTGAGCTGGGCGAGGACAGTCTTGTTGGAGGGCTAAGGATGGAATCTGACTGCAGGGCTACCAGGAAAAATTTGATGATGTTGATGAGGTGGAGACAGTAGGTATGGACAGTGCTTTCAAAATGCTGAGGTATGAAGAGAGAAAGGGCAATAACAAGAGGGTGGTGATACCTAGCCAGACAGCGTTCATTTTCTTTTATTTTTTCCTATTTTTTTCAAAAGTGGGAGAATTTGTAGGGTGAAGAAAAGGAGCCAACATAAAATGTAAGGTGGTATTTTCTCCATTCACTGATGTGACTTAATGTTTCTTCTAGATCAGTGGTTCCCAAACTTATTTGGCCTACCGCCCCCTTTCCAGAAAAAATATTACTCAGCCCCTGGAAATTAATTTTTTTTTTAATTTTTTTTTAAAAAATATATTTTATTGATTTTTTACAGAGAGGAAGGGAGAGAGATAGGGAGTTAGAAACATCGATGAGAGAGAAACATCGACCAGCTGCCTCCTGCACATCTCCCACTGGGGATGTGCCCGCAACCCAGGTACATGCCCCTGACCGGAATCGAACCTGGGACCCTTCAGTCCGCAGGCCAACGCTCTATCCACTGAGCCAAACCGGTTTCGGCTTTTTAAAAATTTTAATAGCAGTTACTCATCGCCCCCAAATGCACCTGTGGCCATCACCGCCCCCCTGGATCGCTGCAGCGCCCACCGGGGGCGGTAGCACCCACTTTGGGAATCACTGTTCTAGATGTTCTTAAGTGCATGGTTCATGGCCCAGTTCTGTACAAAGTGGGCATGATAAACATTTGCAGCAGAACAAAGGAGTTCCACCTGTAGAAAAAGATTGCATGGGATTGCTCACCTCCTGTGGTAGCCTCTTTCCTTCCCCTTCAGGATGTGGCCTTTGCCTGTCATTTTGCTTCACAATAAACCACCATGAAGATTTTAAATAAAAATCCATCTCCCCCATTAAGGGATGCTGCGGCCAATTTCCAGTGACATTCACTGGAATTCCAATGAGTTCTTCTCTTCCCTGACCTCAAACCCTCACCAACAAACTCTACCTATTTTTCCAAGTCACTCATTGAAGTACAACAACCCATAGGAAGACCCAGGGCTGGTGTGGCTCAGTAGTTGAGCGTAGACCTATGAATCAGGAGGTCAGAGTTCGATCCTGAGTTGGGGCTCATGCTCAGGTTGTGGACTCAATCCCTAGTGTGGGGTGTGCAGGAGGCAGCCAATCAGTGATTGTCATCATTGATGTTTCTGTCTCTTTTTCTCCCTCCTTTCTTCTCTGAAATCAATAAAAATATATTAAAACCAAAGAAGCTCCCACAAATGGCTGCAGGGACCAAATACTGATCTAGTCAGAGAATCATTTTCTCTCTGAGTGTCAACTAGTCATCTGTGAAATGGAGTACGAACACCTGCTTCAGAGGGGTGTTGTGAGGGAGGT